AAAAAAAAAAAAAAAAAAAAAAAAAAAAAAAAAAAAAAAAAAAAAAAAAAAAAAGGTCTAGCGCTGAGTAGTAAACTTCTTTTTATATTTTTTCTGTTTAAAGAGAGTAACAACATTCTGCAACAAAAGCTAAACTCGTTCATAAGGCGAAGGAGAATTTATAAATATACATTCTAGAGACAGTAGAGACAGCGGAGACAGAGGAGACAGTAGAGAGGGTGGAGACAGTAGAGGCAGTAGAGAGGGTGGAGACAGCGGAGACAGTAGAGAGAGTAGAGAGAGTAGAGAGAGTAGAGAGAGGAGAGACAGTAGAGACAGTAGAGACAGTAGAGACACTGGAGACAGCAGAGACAGTGGAGACAGTAGAGGAGACACCCCTCGCGGCTGTCTCCTCTACTGTCTCTAGAGACAGCACGGACAGTGGAGACAGTACAGACAGTACAGACAATGGAGACAGTAGAGACAGTAGAGACAGTGGAGACAGCAGAGACAGTGGAGACAATGGAGACAATGGAGACAGTGGAGACAGTGGAGACAGTAGAGACAGTAGAGACAGTGGAGACAATGGAGACAGTAGAGACAGTAGAGACAGCAGAGACAGCACAGACAGTGGAGACAGTACAGACAATGGAGACAATGGAGACAGTGGAGACAGTGGAGACAGTGGAGACAATGGAGACAGTACAGACAATGGAGACAGCAGAGACAGTGGAGACAGTAGAGACAGTACAGACAGTGGAGACAGTAGAGGAGACAGCCGTGAGGGGCTGTCTCCTCCACTGTCTCTGATGTCTCTACAGTCTGCACTGTCTCTGCTGTCTCTGCTGTATCTACTGTCTCCACTGTCTACACTCTCTCTAGTCTCTCTACTGTCTCTGCTGTCTCTACAGTCTCCACAGTCTCCACTGCCTCCACTGCCTCCACTGTCTCCACTGCCTCTGCTGCCTCTGCTGTCTCCACTGTCTCCACTGCCTCTACTGTCGCTACTGCCTCCGCCCTCTCTACTGTCTCCACTGTCTCCACTATATATATATATATA